AATATTTAATTATATTAAAATATTAAAATTTTGGATTTCATATATTGTCATGAGTTATAATCAGGAAACGTGTCTTGATGAAACAATTGAATTATAGAATGAAATCATCAAAACGTAGATGAACAAAAAAAATCCACAAAATGAAACAGGTTTCATGAACGTGAAACCGGTTCATGTTGCAAAGAAATTAGGTGAACCGAAACATTTTTATGGTGAACCCATTGTATTGATGGTGTAGTTAATCTTTTTTTTATGAGAAGCAAAATGAAACCGATTTTGAAAAATATTATGAAAAGGAAAATGAAACAGGTTTCATGAACGTGAAACCGGTTCATGTTGCAAATACATTAGGTGAACCAAAACATTTTTATGGTGAAAATGTTGCATTGATGGTGTTGTTGATCCATTTTGTTGATGAAAATGAAAATGAAACCGGTGTATTTTGAAAATAAATTATGAAAAGGAAAATGAAATAAGTTTCATAAACGTGAAACAGAGTCTTGTTGTAAATAAATTATGTGAACCGAAACATTTTCATGGTGAACCCGTTGCATTGATGGTGTAGTTGAGCCATTTTGTATTTCGCTCGTCATGAACGAAGTGCATGATGAAACGGGAAAATGATTTTAATCTGCTACATAATCTTGAAGATTGTAACCTGTCTAGAATCTTCAAGATTGTAAGGATTAAATGAATGATTCCATCAAATCGGTGGTGAAATAAGAAAATTATTGTACATTAAATAGTTTTCATGAAAGTGAAACTGGTTCATGGCAATATTGAGCCTGATAAGTGAAATGGTTGCATAAGTGAAACAATTTCATGTTGTATTATAAACTTTTATGAAGTCAGTAATCGATGAAAWTTTTTCGTTATCTAAGTGTAACGGATCCATCTACCAGTATAATGAAAATTACGAAATATGATCAGTATTCGTGGATTAGTCTGTTGATTAAATTTTGAAACCAATTTCGTTCATATAATGTAATTCAAAATTTAAAACGATTCACTGCATATAATTGAATATGGTGTGTTATATTCATTTTTTATATGTTTTATTGATGGATGTGAATTAAAGTTAAAAATAATATATTGCTTTAAAAAATGAAAATAGTGTCACTAATATCGAGAAAGATGTTACCAAATGTTAAATTTTGTTTACCATTTTTGTCCTTACTGTTGAAATAAAATAAAAATTTTAATATATATATATTTTTAATTTTCTAAAATAAAGTAAACTAATCTTGACCATTGATTAAGAAAATGGATGGATGAGATTGGTTTACACGGTTTATACAAATGTGGCAGATTTTTATTTGAATGCTCCTCTATATACATATATATATATATACATACATATATGTGTATATATATATATATATATATATGGGCTAGTTCAAATGTTAACCAAAATTATTGTGTTAACTTTGTTAACCGATCTTGACCATTCAATCTTTCAATAAACGGTTGTGATTAATCATGATAAAAACTTATTTTTTTTAAATTTAAAATTTCATAAAAATAAGTGAACAAATTTGAAAAGGGTATTTAGGTAAAAAAATTATGTAACTCCCATATCATTAATTAATTGGGAGTTACAAAATAAATAAAAAATCTATGATTTTTTTGTTAATTTAAGAACCATATGAACATGACTATACATATATATGAACCATTGTATCAAATACGAATAAAAATTTGACATATATATGAACTTGGACTACATAACATTTATAAATACTATATGAACATAATAAAAATAACTGATATACGAAAAGAAATAAATAAAAAAAACAGGTATGAACACGATATGAACAGTTTGTGAACAATAGTTCCTTCATTACAAACACATTCAGGAGCGATCATTTGTCAATTGGAGTTTTATACATGCATTGCATCCACACCGTTTAAAGTTCACCCCTTGTTCATATATGTCTCTGATCTTATATGGTTGTTCACCTTTGTTCATATCGTGTTCACTCGTTGTTCATATCGTTTTCACTCCTTGTTCATATCGTATAAAATATATGAACACATWACCTCAACATTATGAACACCGGGTGCAAACACTTACACAAATATAAAGATTTGTTATCAAGCTTAAAAAATAACACTTGTGTTCATATGATAGAAGAAATAACATGAACACAATGGTTCATGATTCATAAAAGTCGGTAATATAACAATATGAAAATGGGTCGTGTATTACTTTCATTTGAGCATGTGAATTAGGTACGTATTTTAATAATTAAAGAAAAAAGCTATCAATAAAAGATGAATTATAAAAAACACAATACATCGTAATGAACATAATTTCGATTAAAACGAATCTAAAAAAATAAAATCTTTTTACCAAGACATTCGTTTTGGTTAATTTGTTCAATTCCCGACCTCGAACTCTGATTGTTATCATAAACCATTTTAATCTTCTCACTGTTGTCGATTTATTTTTATTGCGTTTATCCATATTAGCTTGATCGATACCGAAATTTTTTACTACCGTATTTTCTATGCGAATTAAAAACTAATAAAACAATGAACATTGAATATCAAGATTAAAAAAAATAAAAATATTAATATTAATACTATAAATGCATATTTTTTTGGGATTTGATGATTTGTAACTCCCCATTAATTGTTTGAGAGTTACATATCAAATCAATTTACTAAAATACCCTTGTAATTAAAATGTGAACATGATATAAACCTACAAGAAGAATATAATTTGATTGGTTGTCATGGTTTTCAAAGTTAACACAAAATTATTGGTTAACATTTGATCTTCCCCTTATATATGTATATGTATATATACATATGTATATATATATGTATATATATATATATACATATGTATATATACATATAGAAACCCAACGTCCCATCCACCTCCCCGATGACTTCATCTTCCCTAGACGGAGAAATCCATCCCTTTATCGTCTCCCCCTCACCCCCCACCACACTAGAGAAACCCTATCCCTCTTCTTTCCCAAATGGGGAAACATTAATGGCAAAAAAGATGGTGATGACAGTGACCTTGGTTTAGACTTGAAATTATACCTCTTTCTTTTTCATACAGCAACAAATCGCATTCCATCTCAATGATTAAGTGTACGGCTTTCGAATCCATGGGCTAAAAGGCAAAAAAGAGACATAAAGGGTCAAATATATAGCAACAACAGTACTAAAGAAACCTAGTAAACTCTTATTCAACTATAAAATCAAAAAGAGTTTTAATTGGTGTTGGTATCATCTATAGAAAAACAACGAGAAACCCATCAAGAGAAGATTTCTTGAAAGAAGTAGCAGTTGAGGAGCCACCAACGCCCAAAGATAAGTCCTTTTTACTCGGCGGCGACAAAAGGGTAACAAGTCCCAACGATCCTCTGGTGATGGTGTCCGGCGACAGGTCCCGCCTATATATACATAATATTAAAAATAATTATGTAGTAGTTCCTTAAAGTTTGATAGTTTTTGTAAAATTAAGAAAACTAAGAAAAACGAGTAAAATGACTAAAATAATCCTCATTAAACTGAACTTAACAGAAAAAGTTAACGACCGTTAATGGAAGGGGCGAATATCATTGTGTGGTGTCAAATTTGAGAAACAAATATGTTAAAATAAAGTTGAGGGACGAAAACCGTTGAAATTGACAAATGTTAGGAATCAAAAGTGATCTTTACTCTTTAATGTATTACGAATATTTTTAAATTAATGCTCTTTTCAAATTTGTGGGTGTTAGAAGTTAATTCAAACATGGTTCAAATAGCAAGTTGCAACACCCATTTTAAAACACTAGAAGGGTACTTGCACACTGTAGCGAGATATATCTTGATTTTAATATTTCATTTTATTTTTTATCTTGGTCGATGTTATATTATGATCTTATATAATTTTGAAAAAGTGATGATGTTTTTATTTTTGAATAAAATATAAACTTGAAGATATCATAAAATTTTGACAAAAATATATCGATATTAGTATAAAATTAACTATTTTAAAATTATATTTTTTGTGTAATTTTTTAATTCAATTTTTTATTATTATAATTTAATTTATGTTTAATAATGAAGTAATTTATATTTGGTTTAATAATATAATTTTTTTATAAAAATAATAATTAATTATTTTGTTATAACTCGAAAATTATCCTAATTATATTTTAGATTTTTTATATTTTAAAATGAGATGTTTATCATTTATTTGATTATGTTTATCCGCAGTTAGTTATACGAATTCAAACATGAAACTTTAATAAGTTGTACTTATGCATAATTTACTTGTAATCTTGAATTTTAAGTAATATGCATCAATATACAATATTTTATGTATAAAAATAATTTTTAAAAGTTTTTGTCAAATGTTTTATAATATAATACAGATAAAATAAATTTATAAGAGTATTTTCAATAAATTTCGCAACTCTAACAACTTTTTATTTTTAGAGAGTACAACTTTGATTTTATTATTAAAAGATTTCATATGTAAAATAAAATATTATTTATTTTTTTTAATATTTAATTTCAATATCTTTTTATCGATGGAAAAATAATATTTAAAAAGTTGTCTCAATTAGAAAATTTTCTTACTTTTCCAAATTTTAATAAAGTTGTAAAAAGTTTGTAGAAGGAAGAATTTATTGGACTTACTCGAAGTGTGATCTTAAGTAATACATTAACGATTAAGATTCGAAGTATGCCTTAATTATTGATTTATTGGTCCTATGAAATAATTCAATGAGTACAACAAACGCATCTGAACGGTGAATGTTCTAAATGTGAATGCCCCTATCCAGCCATCCTAAACGTTTCTTAAAGTTTGTGCCAACCCATAACGGCAATGGCTGTTTACACCCTTGTGGATCGTCGTGCCCAACTAACGTCCGTCACGTCCTCATCCTTATCGTGCCCCACAAGTTTCCTCCACCTCACCACCTATGAGCTCGCCACGTCATCACTATTCTATATATACATATTGGATCAAAGTATTTACTTTCAAGTTTAGCAATGGAAAACGTAGACAAGTTAGAAATGAACTCGTCGGCCGCCGATCGGAGGTTGAGTACGCTCGCCCGTCACCTCGCCGTAACGATCAATAATGAAGGTAGTAGCATCTTTTCTTCCCCAACTTCTGCCGGAGATTCCGCGTTCGCCAACGTAGCTCGCGCTCCGGAAGATCCGATTCTCGGGGTATATTTCTATATCCGTAAACAAAGCAATGATTGTTTCAATTTCCTTTTCAGCTTTGCTTTTAGTATGGATGGTTGAAACTTGTTGAGAAAATCTGGCAGCTGTGATTTTGTGTCAAGTTCTATATAAGATAAAAAGGTTGGTATTAAACTTCCAATGGAATCCATATCAATTTCGCATTTAAGTCTACATCTTTGGAGTCATGGGAGAAGATTTGTCTTAATTCCCATCTGTAATACTCGGTATCTTTTTCTATGCGTGTGCGCGCGTGTTTGATTTAGTTTAACAAGTGATACACACACACACATATATATATATATATATATATATATATATATATACTTTCGGTAATAATGGAAGTTATGACGAGAAACTTAAAGAAAGATTTTCACCCTTTGATCAATTAGTTGAATGTCAGTATCACCAAAATGCAGCACTGGATCAATTCCCTTTATAATTCATGAGAGATTAAAAGTGATCAAGCTTTGAGATCTATTCTTAAGCTTTTCATGATCCTTCGCCTATATATATGTGTGTGTGTGATTGTGCCTGTGCATTATGATCTGATCAATCATATTTTTTTTAGCTAAATATATTACTCTGTCTGAAGATTAGAGATACATTTTGCAGCTAAACTCCTAAAATCTGTTTGACAATTCGGTACGGTTACATGTTTGACGTGATTCTTGTTTTATTTTGCCTAGAACTCTTAAGATACTGTATAATTTAGGACGATAATTATGTAAGTGGCATTCAGTTATCTACATAATGTGGTTTCTATATATTTTCAGGTGCTATGGCCAAACATCTGTCACTTTTACATTATAAATTTTGTGCGAGGCCATCTGCTTTCTAAACCTACATGGTTGTTAGTTGAGTGTTTACTTGTAACTACCAATTCAATTGCATGACCGAGGGAATAGTAATTATGTTCGTTGTAAACCTTTCCGTTTCTTTTGAAACTAAAACATAGAAATATAGCAGGTGGCAGATCATTTATAAGTTTGGACACTTCCAAAATGGAGGTTGAAACTCCAAACCACCACACCCCTCCCCCAAAAAAACAAAGAAAAGGTGAAAGGAAATCTCACTTCAGCAACCTATTTTGGATTTTTGAACCAAGGTTCAAAAGGTTTTAAACTTTGAGTTGGTGGCATTGGTAAATGATAAGCACATCAACCTCATGTTTTGAACAATCCTAGTTGGAGTAGATTGTAGGTTAAAGTACATCAAGGTTTAATGTTTGATCATGTAGCTTGTATTGTTTAAATAAAGTGCTCACTTGAGGAATGATTTCTAAATGCCCTCCAAGCAAAGTCCTTGCGCTATGTTTGAAGTATGCAACTCCTAAGTGTGAAGTTTCTTCAGTAATCATGTGAATGATTTGTTCTTATGATGCAGTAACATTAGAAGGTATTGTAAAGGATTGTTCAAAATGCATGCTCTATTGTGAAGGTCTTTTAACTGGATTCGTCTCTCTTTGCCTGTTCCCACCAAATGCTATATATGTCAGGTTGAACATATTCTTATTGGATCAGTAGCAGCATAAGAGTTGTATTTTGATTGGTTATTTATGTAACACTGAATAGTTCAAACCAGACTGCCTTGCAAATCCTTGATGTTTGAAGCTCTGTTCGTATCACATCTTCTTACTGTAATATGTAGTGTTGAGTTTCCTTCAGGAAACTGTCACTTCTTCCTGAAATTTTACCCTCTCTGGTTCAATCCTTAACACACTTTGTTAATGTCTGAGTAAATGCAGGTTACTGTTGCATATAACAAAGACCCGAGCCCTGTCAAGCTAAATTTGGGTGTTGGTGCTTATCGTACTGAGGTGAGTTTCCTAGATGGTCGTGTGTTACTTTGGTACTTGTTTCGTAACAATGTTCAGACAACTGATAAATTTGTCTCCCGTTTCAAGGAAGCCTTGTAGATGTCTCATAGGGTGTATGGTTCTCAGAAGAGTCAAGATCTTTCAATATTGCTGACTAAAAGTTGGCTTCTTTGAACAACCATTTATTGAGAACAATGTGTGAGTTACCTTGTTTATTGTTTGATATGACAGGAAGGAAAACCTCTTGTGTTGAATGTTGTCAGAAAAGCAGAGCAGCTACTTGTTAATGACAGGTAATCTGTGTTTATCATTTACCCTTTGAAAGTAATACCAGTGAGAATGTAGTATAATTAACAGATAAGTTCCAACTTCTGTTACTTGCAGGTCTCGTGTCAAGGAATATCTCCCCATTGTTGGATTGGCAGATTTTAACAAATTAAGTGCAAAACTTATCCTCGGAGCTGACAGGTCCGAATCATTTGCTGTGATCTGTCATTTTAATGCTTATCTGATATATAATGCATCATAGGTGGTCCTCAATCCTCATGGACAGCTGAGTAGGCATACAAAAAAAATTATAATTTTTATGCTTATATGTGCTTCAACAGGTCAGTCTAACTGCTTCCTGCAGCAAATAGTTTTCCCTTCCTCTTTTTGTGCTCTCAAATATGCCTTTTAATTCAACTTATAAGCATACACTTGCTTAGGTCTTTAATTTTGTTATTAGTGGCTATCGCCTAGGAGAGACAATCTGCAAATGCGATGTTGGGCAATTTTTGGTTTTTTCACTATGACATAGGGTATCACTACTTCTATTTGCAAAAAACCTCTCTTCATTCTTCAATCATCTGAAAAAGTTTGATAAACTCTCCTTCCAGGTTAATATGATGGTACCACTCCGTTCTTACTTAATACTTTTGCTTTTGGAGATTAACTGACTATTTTTTGTATTCAAAATTGTAACCGGTATATTTAGTTTGCAACTTGAAAGGTTTTTATTTTATGTACTCTTTATAGTTTAAATGTAATTCCCTAGACCCTACTCTCAAGTAGGATTTACCGGGTCGGTTTGGTTTGGTTTAGTTTTTGTTTAAATGTAATTTTTGATCTTCTTTCTTGAAGCAAATTTGTTAATCCACTTGCCTTATAGAAAGTAACTTGGTTGTACTCAAAAGTCAACAAGGCACTTGTTTCAAGGATGGAGGGATTATTGATTTCTTCTTATAATGTAATAACATTGAAGAAACTGATGCTTCTTTTTGTCTTATGGCACTGCTGAATTGTACTACTTCATCTATATTTTCCACTTCGATGAAACCCTGTTCGCTTCTTATATGTAACTATAATGTAATAATGTGTGATGTCTTACTTGCTTTGATGTGCAGTCCTGCTATCCATGGAAACCTGGTTACAACGGTTCAGTGTTTGTCTGGTACTGGGTCATTGCGAGTTGGAGCTGAGTTTCTGGCCAGGCACTACCGCGAAGTAAATACATTAACTTTTTCATATTCTATCTTACTAGAAATGTTCATACATTAAACTTAAATATCTTGTTCGTCATCTGTTCTGTTTTCTTTGTTCAGTCGTTGATTTTTTGATAAGCTTACTAACATTTTCACTTTTGCAGCGTACTATATATATTCCCAATCCAACATGGGGAAACCATACGAAAGTATTCACTCTTGCTGGTTTGACTGTGAAAACTTACCGCTACTATGATCCAGTAACCCGTGGACTGAACATCCAAGGTTTGCAACAATCTTGCATCTATTAACTGCTACAGATATGGGAATTCCTCGGTGTTTTATTAGTCCATTATAATTTCTTTATCTATTAGGGATCCATGTTTCTAATGCAGAGTGCGTTCATGCTTTTTTTTTTATCAATTTTCTCTGAAATAGTAATTTGTATTTATAACCAGTGTAGTATACCAAGTTTCAGTTCATGCTGTGCATATGTTATGATAGAAAAGTAAATTCCTTGTTTCTGTCAATATTTCTACAATGGTTCTTTGCGTATTGAGTGATGCTATATCTGGGTTTTGCTTTTGTTCTTTTCATTTTTACTTGTTGCGATAAACATGTTACCAACAGATGCATACATTCAAGATCAATACATATTTCTTGATTATTTACTTTTTTGATTGGGGTTTCAATATTTTAATCTAATGATCGTTGATGATTATTTCTTTTTCAATTCTGTTGCAATACACTTGGTTTTTTGGTTAACAGGCTTACTGGAAGACCTTGAATCAGCTCCAACTGGAGCAATTGTGCTTCTACATGCCTGTGCTCATAATCCCACTGGTGTTGATCCGACACTTCAACAGTGGGAGCAAATAAGGCAAATGATTAGATCAAAAAGTCTCTTACCGTTTTTTGATAGTGCATATCAGGTGTGTTTCAATTATATGGAGGTCGTTTGATACCTTCCGTTTTAGCATGTGAACTTGAATGTTGATACCAAGGACTATTGCTTGTAAGAGTCATATTTACTGCTAAAGACTTCGAAATTGTCTTTCAAACTTTTTAGGGTTTTGCAAGTGGAAGTCTGGATGGTGATGCTCAATCTGTCCGCATGTTTGTTGGTGATGGTGGCGAATGTTTTATAGCTCAAAGCTATGCAAAGAATATGGGTCTTTATGGTGAAAGGGTTGGTGCATTGAGCATTGTAAGTGAAGCTTTTAAACTATTGTCAGATGTGTTTTACCCATCTAACAGTTGTGTATTATTTATTTGTCTTCCTTTTTTTTCCCATTAATGATAATCTTTTTGAAGAAAAGAAATTGTGACTGCCCTAGCTCACCTCACATTAAGCCAATAAGCAACAAAAAATCTTGAACTCTGTCAGTATCTTCCAATTCTTCGTTTCACATGGGATCACTAATCGATCGTGGAACAATACTATTGCATTTAACTATATGTTCTTATATGCTGATTTGATGGACTTCCCCTTCATTATCTTAGTTGTAACGTCAAAACTAGTTGGTGCATTTTTTATTGGTCGGAGTTCTATCCTTTCCAACATTGAGAGATACTGATTGTTGTTCAACTAGTCAAAAAGAGAAAGATGCTGAAAATCCTCTTGAGAAATCAGAATACATCTACAGAAAGTTTGTCTAATATTTTGACAAAAGTATTATATTATTCCGATCAGGTTTGCAGGACTGCCGATGTGGCAAGTCGAGTTAACAGCCAGCTGAAACTTGTGATAAGGCCTATGTACTCAAATCCACCTATTCACGGTGCTTCAATTGTTGCTACCATTCTCAAAGACAGGTAAAGAATTACCTTGGTGGATTTTCTCTTTCAATGGACAACAAATTAGAGTTTTGTGAGCCAACAGAATTTCTCACCTATTCTTGCAAAATTAAGTAACTGAATTTTATGCTGAAAAAGTCTCGTGAATTTGTGTTTTTATTACCTGCAGAAACCTGTACCATGAATGGACCCTTGAATTGAAGGCAATGGCTGACCGTATTATTACCATGCGCAAACATCTTTTTGATGCTTTAGGTGCTAGAGGTACTACTTGTCTTCATCTTTTGGAGCCTGCCTATTTGTGTGTGTTCTTCTGGTTTTGTCATAGATTCTAGGGTGGCATTTGGTTCGTTGGAATCTGATGAAATTTGAGGGAATTAGAATGGTCAATTCCATTGGCCAAAATCCGTGCATATGCTTGGTTCTTTCTTTTGAGTTTTGGTTAGGAATTTGAATTCCACATATGGTGGAATGTAAGTTTTCTTTGGGTTCTAGAAGGAATTCCAATTCCTTCATACCATCGGCGCCACCGCCGTCACCGCCTGATACGACACCGTTTTACCATCTTAGTTATTTATAATGATCTTTTAGTTTTTTTCATAGCTGTGGGCCATCTGCCACTGGGTTGGTATTGGTTCCTTTAGCAAGCTGTTAGGGTAATCTAGAAACTTCTAAATGTGGGTTAGATATAAGGCCATGCCTTCATTGATGTAAGGGCATCTTTTGATCAGTTCTGAATATGAAAAGCACCAGAGACGTTCTCTGACTGATTTGAGTAACCCAGAGCTGTTCTCTGTGACTTAGTTGTGTTCACAAGGTGAAATTGCTTGCGAGCTATCACCGCCAACCGCCATCACCTCCGCCAGTAACGCCACCACCACTATTTTATTCAACAAACCAAATAGACAAATTCAAAATCTTTTGACAGATTCTACTCCAACTCCTGTTAACCAAATGCATGGTCAAACATGATTAAATTTCATTCCAATTCCGAATGAACCAAATGCCACCTAGGTATTATTAGAAATCCTACAAATTGGAATGAGCTAGTCAAGTTCATTAGCAACCCATTCTTAGCCAAGTTTATATATGCACTTGAAGGTTGGTGTGGCTCGAGTTCCACCTTACTACAGCACCAGTGTTCATAAGAAAATTTCAAAGTGTTTGAGAAGTTAATTTTTGGTAAGAGAATAATGACTAGGAAAATACAATGTTCATACCGACTAATCAGGATCTCAAGCTTTTATATACGTGCACTCAACTAGTTATTTAATTCATCAACGAATAGATTCTTCTATTCTTATTGGCACCATGTCCTATAGCTGCTATCACTTATTTGCCTTAAAGCTGCATGCTGATGGAAAATCTCTCAATATTTATTGATGTGATGCATGTGCCATCGAACTTGCTTGTGATAATTCAGGTATGATAAAATGGCCGTGGTTTTTCAAATTTAGGTCCAACAGCTCTTCAAATTGCTTAAAAGTGAAGTTTGTTGGAACTATATGTCTCTTTCCGGTGTTTCTTCACCTTAGCTGTGTCTCTTAGTTTCCGCCTCATAACCCTACTTTTATTTTTAACTTTTACATGGGCACTGGGTGTGGCTCGTTAATAACCACATGGAGAGTGATAAATTTTCATTTGTCGACAATACGGTGGCCTTTCACTTAAGCAAGGAGTTATTAGTTTAGCTTTAAGGGTTAATGTTGACCGTACTCTAAAATAGAGTCCTTGAAACCACCTACTATGTGAACTTTTATAGGAAAGCTTAAGCTTACATTTCATTCAGGCAAGCAATAGTAGTATAAGTGTGTGTTTTTGTAATATGTGGATGCATAGTGTGTGTGCATTTATTAAAAACGTGCTTTATCAGGGAGAGGAGTCCATGTCTTTGTGATTCTTGCTGGATCAAATATGGGTGTAAGAATAATGTGCCTTCAAAGATACCTCATATGGCCATGTTTGGCAATCATAAACTAGCTTATTTTTTGAACTTATTGAAGAAAACCCCGTTTGGTAAGCTATAAGCTAGCTTTTCTAAAAAACTAGTTGGCATTCTTTTTTCCATTAATGCCTCTTATATTTTACATAAATGCTCCTTATTTTTCTTTTAAGTCATTTTACATAGTCCCATGTTTGGCAACTAGCTTTTATGCAACGAGACTAGTTTTTTTGGCCAACAATTAGCATATCAAACATAGTTGACTTCTCAATTGTTGGAATCTTTTTACTTCGATGGTAAATTTAAGCAGAAAATATAAAAAAAACCTGTTTGCAATCAAGTGATAGACTGGACTGGAAGATTTCATACGGTTATTTTGTGTTGGCAGGAACACCTGGTGACTGGAGCCATATTATAAAGCAAATTGGGATGTTTACTTTCACAGGGCTTAATAGAAAGCAAGTCACCTTCATGACAAAAGAATACCACATCTACATGACATCCGACGGGTAATGTATTTTGACCTTGATTCTTGCTGTATATATTAAGTATATGTAGAATTTCTAGATGTTGGATTGTTTATATCCAGGTTGTATGTATCATAGACACAACATTGCTAACAAGAAAAGTAACTTCCTTATGAATTTGAAAGAAGGTTTCATTAGTATCGAGTGCTAAGCGTATTCTTGGATGATCACAAAACCTACAATTAGAAGGTGGGCAAGTATACTCGTATAAATATTTTCTAAAAGTTGTGGTAAACCACACCCAAGGATGTGAACTTCTGCACTCTATCCGATTCGGTGGTAGATCTACGATTTTTGATTGGGGTATGCATCATCATTAACAAAACTTCAGGAAATGCATTACAATAAAGACATACTTTATTTTTATCTTCTACATTACATGGAGGACTAGATTTTCTAGGTAGGCACTTCCATATGGTCCACCCATGCCGCCTATTGACACACTTGTAGTCATTCATACGACAACACATTATGGGGAGTTTCCACACACAAGACCTCTTAAGTGATCCTAAAGAACTCCCAACTAAAATTCATGTAATTGCAACATGATATAGGAAAAGTTCGTATTATTATGTTCATTGCACCTTAGATTTGTTACAATTATATAACTATATGATTTGTTGGACACATTTGCACATGTTGCTTGCTCGATTCTTCTTCTATCTATTTGTTTCGCAAATCGGAGGGCTTCATAGAAGCAACGTCTCTATACCTTGGGTAGAGGTGAGGAATGTGTTGTGGATCCTAACTCTGCTTGGGATTTACTGGGTTTGTTTGGTTTTGATATGGTTTCGTATTCAACGTTATGGTTTATTGAAGTATAAGAAAGTCAAATGACACAAATCAGTTTTTATTTTGTGGGTCCCATTTCAATATAACGGACCATACAAATGAAGTCGTGCAAGTTTGTAACTTGGTTCACTTTATGGATGTGCAGGCGTATCAGCATGGCCGGTTTAAGCTCGAGGACAGTCCCTCACCTTGCAGATGCAATACATGCTGCTGTAACCACTGTTGTTTAAGGAAGTTGTTAAGTCACATATATTTTTTCTAGTGTCTTCAGGTTAATCCACTATGTGGATCTTAATATGCCCAATTACTTTTGTTGTAATCAAAGGATTAATGATCAAGTGTGTGTTGTCAAAGAGAATAAAGGTATGTTCTGTTCACATAGTGGTGGAGTAAAGGTAGTGGTGAATGACGATGACGGTAGAGGATTTGAAGATGGTGGAAAGTGGTGGTGGTGGTATTCGGTAGTGGATGAGGAGGTAGTTGTGGTTGAAGTGGTGATGGTGGTAATGGTTCGATGATGGTGGTGGCGGACAATGGTGACTAGAAGATATAAAGATGATGGACAAGAGACACATTGGAGGTTGTTGCAACGATTACAGTGGTAGAGGTAGAGGTAAAGGCAGAGGCGGTAGTGGCTAGTTAACAATGGTAACCGTGGAGGACAGTGGTGGTGGTGGTGGCGAGCGATAATGGTGGAACAGATAGTTGTGATCGACATGTTGAAGGTGTAGGTGGTGGTTGGTTGTGGTAGTGGTAGTGGTAGATAATGTTGATAGTGGTGGTGGAGGTGGTCAATATATGGTGGTGGCCATTAAAACAAATACCATATTAAGGCTGTGTCAAATGAGGGTAGATTAGGAACTTTTTAGCTTGTCATATCTCGCCCCACCCAGTCCCGGTCCTTGAACATGTCCCAAACGCGCCAAACGTGGGACCGTGATTTTTTTTATCTATCCCATATTACGTCAAACATGGGACAAAGAGTTTTTTTGTCTCGTCTCGTTAAATGTACCATGTTGGAGGGATTTCAGAAAAAAACTGAGAAACAATAAGTAATTAAAACTTGGATAAAACTAGAGATCACGTGAGATCACTTTCCTTAAGTAGTATTTCGACCAAAATCTACCAAGGTATTACGAAATTCACTTGAGGATAATCTTAAATTTTTAGTCCCGATTTTGACAAAAATCTTCCTTTTTTAACTTGGAGAATCGTAACTGCTCATATATTAATGTTGAGAATAACTCCCTGCTAGATGGAAGTTGTTGTTGAAAATAAGTAGTGGGTAGTTACTAAAACAACATCGCCAAAATACCATCGACTGACAACCCAACCCATAGGTTGGTCACCCGATAGGCGGGTTACATAGCAGGTAGCCAATCAATTGATCACCTATCAACGAGTAGCCTATCAATTGATCACCCATTGGTAGTCTCCCATCATCAGGTAGCCTATAGTTGATCACCTACTGAATTTTAGTGTTATCAATACTGTTATAATATCATCATACTTAATATTTATCTTGATGATTTAAGATACCAAAATTGACATAATTTTGTCATTATTATAATGTTGAAAATAGGGTGTTACATCAACACTTAGTCTCTTCAAAAACCTTGAAGCTCGAAGATTGATCTTTCCCTCTTGAAGTTAGTTGTTCACCCTTATATGTGGAGATGTTGGTTTCAATTTTCTCAATTTAAGATCTAATAACAGATAAGAGTAGCGAAAGCAAATTGATCTTAAGGACAAGGTATAAGCAATTAAGATGATAAATGGTAATAAAAGATAAAAAATTTGTTTGAATCATCGTCGTCATCATGTGTATTGATAGTAGATCTCAATTACACATGTGAGATTGATCGTGAAGATCGATAGTACAAAGAATATTTAAATCTTACAAGTGATATGATTGATATGAATTATGCATGAGCTCCTATTTATAACCTATAAATCAAAGTCATATTATACTCCAATGGGAAGCCTCCACGTGTAAAAGTGCTTTAACAGACGTTGGGCAGGAACGACTGAGGTGCATGAGCTCTATACTTGTTCACTTGCATGAGTTGGGGAGTCTGATAGGTAGGTCTAGAAGCAAGGTAAAGGATGTGGTGCCATTGGATGAGTTCTGGTCATGGCTGATGGATTCTCGATAAGTGGATTCAGAACTCCCAACTCCCAGAGCTTTTTCATACTTTCACAAATCAGAATGATGAGGTTTAACAAGAGGCCTCTCACTGGAGGATGAATTGACTTTATCTTCAAAGGCTTCAAAGGCCTATAAATAACAACTTCATTTCTATTGTATTGTAACCTTGATAACTCTAAAGTAATGATTGGAAACTTAGAGAAAACCTTTCAAGCTATATTGTACCCTTGGGTCTCGTTTGGTTTGTAGGATTTAGTAAAATTTGGAATTCAATTATATTTTAATCCTATAATTGGTTTGAAAGATTGCTTGAATTTGAAATACCGAGATTTCATTGAAATCTTACAAAAAATGAGATTTAGAAATCCCATGGGGTTGGTATTTCGTAGGATTTGTGTATAATAATGTTTAAAATATATTGAAAAGATTTATTTTATAATAATCAATTAATAAAAAGATAATTTAATTATTTTTATAATTATTCATAATTTGTTTTTTATAAATAGTTTATAAAAAATTGAGTTCAATTTCATTTCAAGTCCTACAACAAACACACCAAATATTTAAAATCTTTTCAAATCCAAATCTCTTTAATTTTAAATCCTTCCACAAAATCCAAATCTCTCATAAGCATCCCATTAAACCAAACGTCCCCTCAATCTGTAACACCCATACCACACATTGCATATAAGACATACTTCATTTACAAGAAATACATGTTTATACACCATTCAGGTCCCATAGTACAAGAGTCTACCATACAGAATACATGGTCCAAAAATTCCAAAATACATATTCTTGTACTAATCAACATTTTCTACCAAAACTATGTACATCATGGGTAAATCTTGATACATATATACATATAGAAAAATATCACAATTTTCCCCTTCCCTTTACCGTCAGCACCTCCTGCAATACATATTTAAAATCACAAAATGAGGATTAGACCGGAAGGTCTAGTGGGATCCCTTTTTCTATGCCATTGTAGGGTGAAAATCACCAAAACTTATTTAAAACATCTTTTCATATATATAACAAATATATGAACAAGTAAAACGTAATACCCATACCTTTCCAATTCCAAAGCCAATCACTCAGTTTTTAAATAACATACCCAAACCCAAATAGGTCTGAATCAACCAGGTTTTACATAATGCCACTTTTAAACCTTTTCAATTATAAACAAGGTTTATTCAAAGGTCATGCCAAAACCTGTTATCATCTTCTCAATAACATCCAGACTACGATTTCCAATAAGAACCCTGATTCTAAATTTTTAAAACACAAAGAAATAAAGTTTCCAAATCACAGGTACAAATGCCACCCTTATATCCAAAGGTATACCTCTCCTTGATATGCCACCCTTATTTCCTCATCAAATCATTTTACAAAATATCTCCAATTAGAACAGACCGCAGTCATAAATGTCCTAATGAAATATCATCAGTTCAAAATCATCTTAATCAAAATTCTAATTCTTTATTATTATAAAATAATATTATAATGATGATCTTATTTGAACAAATACTTTAATCAAGGCATAAATCCAATCAAGTTTTGGTCAATAAATCAATCCGGTCAAGTTTTGGTCAATAAATTAATCCGGACAACACAAGCCATATGATTGATTTACAAATCCGGACAACACTTTCACTTGTCCACTTTACCAATCCGGACAATGTTAAAACAAGTCCGATCAAGTTTTCAGTTTTATATACATGGAATTATTTACCAACATCAAAGTCCGATCAAAACACAATCGGACCATACTAAACTGAGTAAGCCCTTGATCGGTTTATGTCTAAACCGGATAACTCTTGATCGTATTCCTACTTCTCCGTCCAAAACGTTTATCCGGTTTACATAATTCAAAATCCCACCAACTTTCTAAACCGCTCAACACTATGATCGATTTAAAGCTAAATCGGACAACATGTGTCCGACTTAAAAATAATCCGGACATCACTTGTCCGATTTAGAGCCAAGTCCGGGTATTTGTTCATAACTCAATTCAGTATGCAAAATCAAAAATACTTTTAAAAGACATTTAATAACTCACCTTTGAATTTCTTTTGAAACCAGGCTTCAACAATTCAGTCAATAAGTAATCCGGACAAGCTTCCTCTAAAATCACTCTCAAGGTTTTAAAATGGCAAGAGTTTTGAGAGAAGGCATTACTCTCATTTATATATATACTCCTTTCCTCTTTTGGAAAGGCGGCTAAAGTAGCCTCACATGTGCATGCATACATATATACCTTCTCATGCATATAATATCATGTATACATATATTCAACTTTACTCTTAGTCATGCATATTCATATTATGCATACAATCTACATACTCGCATGATCAAATTTATCATGCTGTCACGTAAACATATAACTTATAATAAATAATCACGTATTAGTTACCTCAGGTGATAACCAAGACTCGGTTATCACACAATCTTTCCTCTCTCAAGTATAATTCATTATAGAGTAAATTACATTTGGTTTGTTAAAAATTATGATTTTCGTCCTTGTGGTTTAGATATGGTTTTCGTCCCTATACGTCATTGCTATTTTCGTTCTAATGATTTATAATTTATTGTTGTTTTAGTCCTTGTGGTTTACAGTTCTTTACTCTTTTGGTACCTTGTACTTAAAAAGGTAAGAAGTAATTTAGGGGCGAAAATATCAATAAATTACAAACCATAGGGACAAACTGCAATTTCTAAACCACAGGGACGAAAATCGAAATTTTTAACAAACCATAGAGACGGAAGTTGTAATTTACTCTTCATTATAAATATGAAATGAATACATATATGACTAGAATTGCTAGTGAGATCTTCCTGTTTATATGATATTGTATTGATAATTGATTGTGATTTTGCTTCCACTATCAAATTTCTCCAAATCATTAAATTAAGAAATCTGGGAACCAACATTACAACTGACAAGTAGTGGGGTTGCACCACTCAGCTACTATGTCTGCCTCCTTTACCTCGTCGATTAGCAAATATACTTCAGGTTTCTTTCCATGATCGAGCTACATGGGTATCCTACATGCTTATTTGCTTGAACATCTGCTACTTTTGTACTTTGTTTATGTTTATAGTAAAACACAAACTAGGACAACCAACCATGTTTATTCAGTTTGGGAATTTCGGAGCGTGTTCATCACATTTTTATGCCTTTTTTGCCCCAAAATCTTCTTAGCATTAGTCTAGCGTAATTTCATAT